TCGAGATCGTCGAGCCGCCGAAGAAGTTCAAGCCGCAGGCTAAGGCGGGTATGGGAGCGAATGCGGGTGGTGCGAACGTGAACTTGAATGCGGTGGCGGGAGGGAGTGGTGTGAAGCCGAAGCCGAAGCCGAGGCCGGTCGGGAGAGCGAGGAATGTTGGTTGAGACTGGGGGATGATCTTATGGCTGGTGGCATACGCATACGCATACAGACTACGCATTGCACTTTTCACTTTTGTATAACCATTTCAATCTATTGATATCGATACATTCCATTGCATTCAACTCGAGAGCCGCGCGCAAGTACCAGTTTAATCATGTCAGGCTTTGAGCTTGATGTTTGTAGTATTCAATACGTAGATAGTGATGCAGTCAAGTGAGTAGTACTGAGATAGGCAGAGAGACAACGATTAACGATGAGGCAATGAGCGTGGGCTGTACGAGTACGAGACAACAGACTGGAAACCGGGAGACGAGAGATGATGACAGCAGACAGTGGACAATACAAGACGGAATAATGACAAGCGGGTAGGCTGGGAGCAGAGACAGAGACAGAGACGGTACAGAAACTAGAACTATAACGAATCATACAAAATAATTATGAAGCAGTGAGCGTAGGATGTGGCAGTCGAGTCGAGGCGTGGTATCATCGGAGAACATAAAGGTATCAATAAGGCAGATCCAGTCTAGCCTCACGAGAGTCACAGAGGAGAGGTAGACCTATGCGAATGTATACGCGCGCAATAGAGGCGCGCTCTTCGCAGGCGTCGCACCCGGCGTCCGCGCTACACCGCTTTTGCGCGGCGAACTTTGATCGAGTTGGGCTTGGGCGGCTGCGAGGTCGATTGTGAGATGTTTAGGACGTTTGGCGGTTTGTGGCGAGATCGGCGACTGTAACACAAATGAGCGACCAACAGCGGTGCCAAAGACGGTTGAAGCGCGCACCTTAACAGGCGCGACCCCCTCCTCATCATCGATCCTCCACTCCCCCGGCGGAATAACCGTCTCGCCATACCCCATCCCCAGCGCCCTATACGAGCACCGCTTCCCATACACCCGCCCCTTACAGCTCAAATGGTCCCATTTGCTGCTGCCCTTGCCCTTCCGGCGCTCGAGCAGCATCTTGTGCCCGATGGCGTTCCAGAGCCGCTTGTCGACCTGGCGGTGGTTCGAGAAGGAGTAGATGTAGATCACTTGACGGATGAGGGAGGAGGGGGGGTCCGGTTCGAGGTCGATTTGGTACTGCGTAACGAGGTGGGGTGAGTACGAGTAGGTGTTGAGTGAGGGATAGAGGGTGGGTGTGATGAGGGTGGGAGGGGAGAGGGACGTACGATGAGCCGCGTATCCCTCGTCATCTTCGCTTCGAACACGGGCGTGATGAACCCCCTATCAATAAACCTCTTCTGGTTATCGTCCTACACAGCCCTCCGATTGAGCACCACGCCACAACACGCCGCCCAAACGTAAACAGATCGGGAAAAAGACTCACGGAAAAGTGCCCGTGGGACAGCTCTCTACGCGCCGTGGCAAACACATCAGCGCCCACGCGCGCGTCGCGAATGGTACTTGGGAAGAGGCTCACCGCATCTTCTTCACCCATATGCTATACATATGCGCGTCGCCTCTTTCGGATTCTCGGAGGTCGCCTCGGGCGCGTTGGGAGAGAACGAGGCGCCAGGGTCCGAAGCCTTCGTCGTAGAAGTGCGAGCTTGATCTGTTGCCGTCTAGGTACTCTGAGTCGGTTGTTGAGGAGTGGTCGTCGACGAGGGTGTCGGATTCCTAAGCGGTACAGATATACGTCAGTGGGTGGTGGATGTAGGGGAGGGAAAAGGTACTAGCCGTGTCGATGTCGGTTAGGCTATCGTCGTCTAGCATGAGGTCTGCGAGTGACTCTTCGAGCTCGATCGCGTCTTGTGGGTCGGAGGTGATTGGAATGTACATAGATCGTATAGCCTCTTGCAATACAGGACGTCTAAAGAACAGGAGCAGCCGCTGAGACCCACTGAGCCTCATGCCAGGCAAAACGTGTATAGGCAGCATATACGCACCTTGAGTATAGCCTGACAGCTCGTCAATATTCTCCCCACGAACTCTTCCGCTTGATGCTGCGAGGTCGGCAGCGCATATCCAAGCACAGATAACGCAGATACACCCGACAGCCCATCCGTATCAAGAGACGGGTCCGCCACCGGTCGTCTTCGAGCGGCTTGCTTTCGTTCTCGTTGTGTTTGCTTTACGTTCCAGCTGAACCCGGAGTCTAAATCTGCAGGCGCGGACGCCGGCGGGTCGTATAGCGGTAGATCCAAGTCGGCTTGAGCTGAGGCTAGAGCCAATAGAGCGCTGGGTGTTGTCTCTACGTGTTGATGCATCTCTCGAAGGGTACGTTGGTGTTCGTCGAGCGTTTCGACGGGGAGGAACATCGCGCTTTCCAGAAGCGAAGTCAAGATGCGCCAGCCTGTACATGTTTCTGACCATGTCTCTTGTGTTATCGGGAAGAGCGAGAGGGCCGTCTGGGCGAGGGTGTTGAGGTCTTGTTCTGTGGCCACTGGAATAGGGAGGGGGTAAGCACTTGGACAGATATGGGATACAAGGCGGGCAAGAGAGGCGGGAACAAGGATGCACGGTATTGATGGACCGGAGATCGCCGTGCGTTAAGCGCGTAGAGCCACCGACGCATACAATAGCATATACCGACCTCATTGCACGAGTGTAAACGACAAATCATGTCCACGGGTCATAGCACACATGCAGAACTGGGTATCGGCGAGCTCGGCGAACACTGAAACTCGGCGTCGGGCACGCAGCGCGCAGTGGCGCAACACACATCTCCAAGCCCAAGTCCCTTACCTGAAATCAAGTACGGTAAAGCCCCCGCCTTGCCAATGGCCTGAGTAAGCACGGCCTCGGCCCGTACTTTGACCGGCGCGAGCTCGAGTAACGCGCTGAGCTGCTCGAGCGCGAGATGTACGCCGCTCTCGTCGTGCAGGGTGTCCGGGCTCAGGATGCGCAGGTTGAGCGCGGAAGTGCGGAGGAGCTTGGTGCGCTCTTTGCGGCCCATTGTGTATTTTGGATGTGGGTTGTGTAGATTGGTAGGTGATCAGGGTACTGGTGGGGGGAAGTACACGAGGCGCGGGCAGGGATGTCGGTAGGGTTGCAGGGTTGTCGTCTCTTCCAAACCAAGCTTAAGGTGGCCCAACGTGTAATCAACCAAGAAGAATACGCGTCGACGTGTACAAGACAGAGTAAGTGTGGTCTGAACGCGTCCACAAGAAAGGCGTGTGGGGCGGCTGTGGTGAAGGGGAAAGAAAGAGCTAAAGAAAACGCGTTTGGTACGCTCTAGCGCGATCCCGGCGCGGATATATAAATTGGGTCGCGTGCGAATCGCGCGGCTCGCGTTGGTTGCTTGCCATTGCGCCTCGGGCGACCACCGAGCTCGGCGTTCTGTCTGTCTGCGCGGCTTGATTGCAGGCCGCAGAGAGAACACAAGAGTGCATACATTCATGGTGTTTCGCTTCAAGCCGTTCAGATCATTTGTCGCGGTTGTGGCCACCGGAAATGAGCGCTCAGGCTCGCGTGCGGGCCACGCGAAGCGCGTTGCGCGCCGAGCTGTCGGATGGGATCACCTCGGAGGTTCGAATTGAAGCGCTGCGCGGAGAGCGGCCATGTTGGTCACTTCCACCACCGTCGCACCCTCGACTAGACTTAGGTAATGAGCCAGTATATCCTGGAATAGGAGGATGGGTATGAATGGTAGAGCTGGTTCTCTGGATGTAGACAGACTATGAAGTCGTCATACAACAAATAAAGGCGTTCTTAGTCCGACACGCGTGAGGTCGTACATCCTTATGTGCTCTATGCGCTCACAAGGCGCTGCAAGCTCCCGATGGCGTGCGAGCTCGCTGCGGGAGCTTGCGAGCCACGAGGGTTCAGCGCAGTCCTTGGGCTATGCTTCCTAGGACCCCTCTCCTTCTCTCCATCCACTACGTCCTTGTCCTCGACGCGCCACACTTCCTCTCGTGCCCACCGCCCACCTCAGATACGCCGGGGACAATGGCGTCTCGCTCGTCGTATGTTGATTGGCTACCCGGAACCGGATAGTGGTCTAACCTAAGTGCTTGATAGCAATGTCTTTGGTCCTCGTGTGCAGGCAGGCCGTCCGCTTGGGAGAGAGATTCTACTCCGTGTTGACGGTAAGGGGTTATAGTGCACTCTACGTTCTGTTCTCACATCCGGTTGCAGTTGAAGGGGCAAATGGCCTACCTCTCAAGGCGGGATCGCAATATCCCAACACTCGCTTATTATGTCAACTCAGATTTGAAGCTCTCTCGGACGGAGGAGAGTACACTCTAGATACCTCAAGTGCATATGAAGGTCATGGATCCCTTCAGGGCACGGTCCAATGGAACGAGACCCTCTATATGTTAGTTAATCAGAATTGCTGTCTGCATACGCTCATTACAAGCTTAGCCGGTGTTTGGAACTGTCCTACATCAACGTTAATATGAGCTTCGGAAGTAAGAACTACATGGCAGCGTCCAAAAAAATGTGCATGCCCGTTATCAACTTCGTTTCCGCCACTCAGAGTAAGATCTCCATTAACATTGAGCTATACACAACGGTAACTTGATTATGCAGTACCACTCGTGGCTATTGGATATCCCAATCACGGCCCATGCAACTTGTTTCTTTCCGTCACCCGAGTCGTCCCCGAGGGCGAGGAAGAGGATTCCGATCTCAGTGCTTCATGTGCGCAGGCCCGACACGATCAGGGTCACATTGGTCCGACGCTGCCAGCCGGCGTATGGAATACTGCATTCAGTCAGATGTCACTTTTACTTGACACTATTTGTCGGTGGCAATGGAAGGTAATGTGTACATCAACGTCACATGGGGTATTGGCAACTTAGTGGCCATCCAGCCTCGCTCGCCACGTCCGCCACGTTTCCGATTTGGCCCTTGGGCTCATGGCCAGCTCTACAGTGCATACCGAGATCGTTACGTATGGCATGATTTTGCAACTCCTGTACGCCTTGCTCACAATTTGCCGTCTTTGTAGAGTGGCATGGAAGGAAATGATCAGCTCGAAAAAGATCTAGGGAGCGTCTTTGCGTGCATACAGGAGTTTATGAATGTGATCCGACAACCTGTCGCACGTGCACGCGAGTCAAGTAAGGACCGTTACATAGAGCTGACTATGAATGCGGTATATGGCGCAGTGTCACACATATGCGAGCCGAGCACCAAGTATTGGCAGAGCTGTAAGCAGTACTGTCGTCCCCATGACATTTACTCACGGCCTTGAAAACCCCACCTCCTTCAGACCATGAAACATACGTGGCAGAGTCAGCGAAGCTTGCCTGGATCATCGTCACACCAGACCCACCCGCAACGTCCGCAGGCACTTCAACGACGATAGCTAAAGATGCACTTCTCCTTGTCTTGGAGGCAATTGTACAGTCGTCGGACGCATTTCCTCCGCTGAAGAGCGCAGCTAGCGGCCTGCTCTTCTTTGCTACCTGTGCAGATGTGAGCCATGTGTCCCTTCCACCAGCTTGAAGTACTTACCAACAGTACTGTCGTATAGACAGCATGCGGTAACAAGAAGCAGATACGCGACATATACAAGCGCATACACGGTTTGGCCGCTTCGCTCAAACGCGGCACCAAGACGGGGAGCCGGATCACCCCCGAACATCAGGAGGCCATCGAAGTTCTTGCAGCGTACGTTCTCCGAGAAGTACACCGCAAGGACTGATCCGGCATAGATTCGACCGACTCATAGGCAAGTATCATATTCTGCTGCTCGTTAAACGGAAACTGTCCGGATACATCTTACGTCTGTTGGATACGGGCTCTCGAAATACGGGGAGAATGGGCTGGATGCGAGCGAGCGGGGACGGATGGCGCACCCGGGGCGAGGAATCGCCCGCGCAGCCTCGTCTGTAGTTCTCGTCTCGCTTCTCTTGGAAACGTGTCGATCCGTCTGTCGAGGTCTTCATGACTCCTGGCCACTCGCAGCCATTGCAACGGACCGCCCAGAGGCGAGATGAGCACGCACGCACGCCTGATCTGCCGAGGCTATCCTGTTTCCAGTGACCCCTCGTAGCCTGCGGCGATGTGGCCTGGCACATCAAGCCCGTGCGACAGAGCCTGTCATGCTGCCACTCCACCCAGAGGCCAGTACCAGTTGACAATTTGCGCTGTTGAGTCTGCCCAGCGAGCAGGACCATAACGGCGACGGCGGCGTGTGTCTTGTTGCGCGCTCTTGTTTGAAAGTCCCTCGAGACAAACTCGCCGTGACATTTGGCAGTCGTTCAGTAACCCCAAGGACAGTGCCCACTCGGCTGTCCGCCAGTTTGCGGGGTGCGCTGTACTACTTTGCGGCGGCAATGCCCCCTCGCGATGATGACGGCGCTCGAGGCGAGGAGCTCGCATGTCTCAGTCCTATTGTTTCAATGCCTATTATGCGGCAATCCGGCATCAAAGCCTATCAAAGCCTACCTAAGCCAAGGGGTAAAGCATGTGAAATCTACCCGCATCGCGCGATGGGCCACTGCAGGCTGCGGCGATACTCCGCTTCCGCCCTTACCTCAACGTCGTGCGCAAAGACCATCGTATTGCTCTCACCCGGCTGCTCCTCAGCCATCACCCGCTCGCGCTGGAGGGTCCGCGTCATGAGGATCTCACCCTCGGTCGAAAGTTCGTTCCGAGGGAGCATCGGCTCTGTCGTTTTCGTGCAGGAGCGGTGGAGTCTCCCGAACACGCTCTTTCCGAAGGTATGGCCAACACGACACTGCCCCTCATACGCGCTCGCTTCTTCGCACATGTGGAATGTCTCCGCCCGGATTTGGTGCCGCCGATCTCTGCGCGTCCTACGCCCGACGCGATGCGAGCACTACTTGACTGGCCGGACTTCGTCCACGTACTGGCTGCATTCACTAATGCAGTTCTCTCTGTCTTTACCTCGGTGAAGTGTGTGTGGCCCGCTCAGTTCAAGGTACCACCACAGCCGACGCGTCAGCAACGACAGAAGGGTTAACTGCGCTCGAAAATCGTAGCCGGTACTATCATTATGGGTGATTGTGGTGTCGTTATTGTTGATGGTAGAAGCGCATCTGGGCGATCGCACAATGGATATCGCAGTGAGCTTAGGTCGGCGACAAAAAGATTCGGAGTGATATTAAGCCCATGCCGAGCGGCGATACCTGGTAATCTTAATAAATGATTATTTACAATATCCACCAACAACTACATAGCCGGCGGGATGGGGGCTGGCGGGAGGCGGGTTGTTGTTGGCCTCTAGTCGGGTATAGGTTCTACACGTATGAAAGAGGACGGAGCTCGGCCTATACTTTGGTTAGGGGTCCTGGGCCGTGCGTGGTTTCGGACTGCGCATGATACGCCCAAATCCTGTCAGTTGCTGTTGCAACCACGGCAGTAATAAAACTAAAACTAAAACTAAAACTAAAACTGACCCGCTGACTTTGTCTCAGAGATATCGAAGCATTGAAGGGAGATTTTGAAGGCATTATCGTCGAGCGCAAGAGCCGCTTCAAGAGATTCTTCTCGGCAAAGCGGCACCGCGAAGAGCTGAAGGACGTCGTGGAACAGCTCGAGACCGCCAGATCGAACTATACTGTGAGTCCTCCGAGCAGTATAAATCCTCCGAATCTCTCTCACACGCGCGTTTGGAAGACTGCATTGGCCACGCTGAACGCCATGACGATCGCCCAGGTCAATAGCGATGTGAGGGCTATCGCACTCGTCCTGGACGCGCGCCCGATATACATTCCCGGCACGCGTTGCGCGCAGGATGTCACATTACTAAGTGGCGCGAACCGATTCGAGGAGATTTGAGGCGTCGAGCTCACGTCGGCCCTTGGGCCTTGCAGTCGATATGTCCGTGGACCCATACCATCACGGATTCGCCTGACTTTGACCTCTGATACCTGAGTAACGGACAGAGAGGGCGCCCTGTAGTACAGATTGAGAGCGGGCGCCCAGGCTCGCGTTTGGCAAGTGTCCGAGCGCACTGCGCGTCAAGCTCTCGGGTGAATCTCGGGTACTCAAGATGACGCGGCGCGGCGAGCTTCGGGCGGCCATGTTGGCTACTTCCACCACCACCACCGCCGAACCCTCGACTACTTATGCAGACCAAAACGAGCCGGTATATCCTCTAACAGGGGTGCGGATAGCGAGCTGGTGCGCTAGAAGTAGAGGGGAAGGAGACGGACGAGTGGACGTACGAGTGTACATGCTACAAACGAATATATGCTCAATTCATCGCACTGCGTGAGATCGTATCCCCGTATAAGATCTCACGGACCCTTGGGGCGTGCGCGATTGCTACAAGCGCTTGCAAGACACGCGGTCTTCAAGCTATGCTCCCTAGGACATCTCTCTATCTTCGTCCTCCACGTCCTTCGCCTCGACACGCCACACTTCTCCTCGTCCTTGTCGTTCAGAACGACGACCCAGCCCATATTCAACCATGTCCGGGACAACGGAGGAGAGCTCGTCGTATATCTTGTGACTACCCAAAGCCGGATAGTAGTCTGATCTAAGCGCTTGATAGCGATGTCTTTGGTCCTCGGGAAGAAGTAGGCCGTCCGCTTGGGAGGGAGATTCGGCTCCGTGTTGACGGTAAGAGAGACTTTTGTTCTCTGCCTTTCTCATTCTAATATTAGCCGCAGTCGAAGGGGTAAACGGTCTACCTGTGAAAACGGCGGTGCCTCAACATGACGACGCTCGCCGATTATATCTGGTGTCCTTCTACACTGTCACGGACAAGGGCCCGTCTGATATAGGTACCTCAGGAGCATATGAGGGCAGCGGATCCCTTCAGGGCACGGTGCAATGGAACGAGACCCTCTACATGTTCGTCGGGCAACACCCCCATCTGCGTTCGCTCATCACAAATCTAGCCGCTGTTTGGAGATGTCATACATCCGCATCTGTCTGGATCGCTTCGACACTGGAGACCGCGACGTCGCTACCACAATCTACGAAACGTGCATGCCTGCTATGGACTTTGTTTCCGCCGGTAAGCGTTAAGTCTCCATGATGTAGGGGCAGTTGTACATGATTATGACTTGGTTCTGTAGGACCGCCCATGCTTCTTAATGGCCCTGGTCCCGATCACAACTCATGCAACATGTTCCTTTCCGTCACCCGATTCGTTCCAGAAGGCGAGGAAGAAACCTGCGATCTGAGTACTTCATGCCTGCACGGCAAGCATGCTCGACGCCACGTTGATCCGACCGCGCTATCCGGCGTATGGGGTGCTGCTTTCAGGCAGATGTCAATTCTACTGGAGATTGCCAGTCAATTCAAGGTTATATGTATATCAAATGCCATGTGCGGTCTCGGCATCTCAGTATACACCTAGGTCACGTCAGCGCTTGGAAATCCGTCTCAGAGCTTTCTCTACGAAGCATACCAAGCCCATCATGTATGACCCAATCCCATAGCACCCGCTCAGCAACGCTCACAATACCATCTTCCAGAACGACACTGAAGGGATCCGGCAGCTTGATGAATATGCAGGGAAAGCCTTTGCATGCATGCAGGGGTTCACCGACGTGATGCGACGACCTGTCGCACGTTCACGCGAGCAAATCAAGAAAGACTACACATATCGTGTCATGTATGAAGTGTATTTCGGGTTACGACAGATGCACGACGCGCATTGGCCGAGCCGTGAGTAGTGGCGTTATCACCATGACGATTATTTATAGCCGTCGAAATCTCACTTCCTTCAGTCCATCATGGATACGAGGCAGAGTCAGCGAGGCTTGCCTGGATCATCGTCACCCCAGACCCATCTGCAGCGCCTACTGGGGACCCGGCGACGATAGCTAAGGACGCCCTCCTTCTTGTCCTCGACGCCATCGTACAATCTTCCGATGCATTTCCACCGCTGAAGAGCGCAGCCAGCGGCTTGCTCTTCTTCGCTACCTGTGCGGACGTAAGCTACTTATACTTCTCAAGAGTTGGAAGTACTCATCAACATAATCGTACAGATGGCATGCGGCAATAAGAAGCAGATCCGCGACATGTACAAGCGCATACAGGGCTTAGCCGCTTCGCTCAAACGTGGGACCAAGCAGGGCGGCCCAATCACCCCCGAGCATCAAGACGCCATCGAAGTTCTTGCAACGTACGTTCTCTGAAATAGTGCTCTGCAATGAATGGCCCGCTGACCTTGGCTCAGTGATATCGAGTCCTTGAAGGGAGATCTTGAAGGCATCATCTCCGAACGCAAGAGCCGCTTCAAGCGGTTCTTCTCGGCGAAACGACACCGCGCAGAGCTGAAAGACGTCGTGGAACAGCTCGAGACCGCCAAATCGAACTATACCGTGAGTCTTTCAAACAGTATACGTGCTTTGCACCTCTTTCTCACACGCGCGCGTTTGGAAGACTGCATTGGCTACGCTGAACGCCGTGACGATCGCCGAGGTCAATAGTGATGTGAGGGCTATCGCGCTCGTACTGAATGCGCGCGGGGTGTACATGCCCGGGACGCGTCGTGCGGAAGATATCACGTTTCCAAGCGGCGTGAACCGGTTCGAGGAGTGATTGCGAGGGAAGGGAGGCGCAAAGCGAACCAGCAGCGCGGCCAGCGGAGGGACTGACTGGTTACTTTGTATGGTCGTCATGAAGGCATGCAATGGGTATGGTAGGCCTGAGAGACTCGGGCAGAAGTCGTGGCACGGCTTGACGGAGCAGCCCTGGTAGCAGCAAGGCTTGGTGCTAGTCGATAATGGAACATGGTGTACATGTTTAGTGTTAAGCCACTGCGCTCCGGGCCGCGACGCGGGTCGAGGCCGCTGCGCCACACGGAAGCATTATGGTTGTCGGAACTATAAGTATAGTAACGCGGCAGACACCGAAAGCCGAAAGAACCGAGTTCGAGCGCCGACCCTCGTATGCGCTCTGCCTTACCCCACATCTTCTTGCCAAAGTGCCTACCTCAGAATGATCTCCCCAACGTCTAGCCGTTCTCTGTGACAAAGCCGAAAGACTCGCTCTCATGGCCTCTAAAGATCACATCCATCTTTCATGGGGGAGTAGTTCTCAGGAATACAAGAAGTCATGACGAGCGCACGGGGATGCTGGTCGTGCCAGGGTTGGCCACTGTTCGCGTATTTGGTTGAGTTCCGCTTGTTTTACGGGGGAGGGAGAGTGAGGGCGAGCTGGGCGTGTTCAGTGTTGATGCGGAGGCATGGCACTCTCTCCCAGTTCGGCTATGTGTACCGGCGATGTACTGATGGGAGGGTGTAGGGAAGACACTACCGACAGACGACACATCCGACGAAAACTTCTCGCTCGACGTCCTCGTCCAGGATATAGTCCACCTCCTCCCCACCGCGTTCCCAGATCCCAAGACGGCGCCGACGTTTTTCGTAGGTACCCTCTCCCTCCCTCTTTCTATGATGGGACGAGATGAGCTGATGAAGGGGATGCAGCTCGTGGGACATAGTATTGGCGGCGCTGTCATGATCCGCGCATGTCCGGCCCTCTAAGCGCTCGGATACCGCATCGGGGGCGTCGCGGTGCTCGACGTCGTAGAAGGTACCTCCAAATCCCCATCTCATCCCTCTCCTCTTACCCATCCAACTCAATCCTAGGCTCTGCATTGGAAGCCCTCCCCCTAATGCCCACGATCATCGCCTTGCGCCCCGTGGGGTTCGACAGCCCCGAAGAAGCGATCGAATGGCACGTCTCCGCCTCGCAGATCCGCAACGCGACGTCCGCGCGCGTGTCCGTGCCGTCGCTCATCGTGCCCGCGCCGTCCGATCCGGGGACGTTGAGGGCGCGCGCGTTTGTGTGGCGAACGCCGTTGGGGACGACTGGGCCGTATTGGGAGAGTACGTCCTCTTCTCTTACTGTGCCAATGTGAGTGTGCGACTGAGGGTCACGTAGGCTGGTTCCGCGGTCTGTCGGCGTCGTTCCTCAGCGCGCGGACCGCGCGGCTGCTCATTCCGGCGGGGACGGACAGGCTGGATAAGGAGTTGATGATTGGGCAGATGCAGGGCAAGGTCCAGATGGAGGTTGTGCCCGGGACTGGACATATGCTGCACGGTACGTCTCTGACTCTCGCGAAGCCCGGCTCTAAAGACGGCGACGCTTTTCACTCGTGGTATGGACGCATGCTGATGTCTGGTTTGTGTTGTAGAAGACGACCCGGTGCGGTTGGCGGAGATACTGGTCGAGTTCTGGAGGAGGAACGATAGGGTTGTTGTTGGAGTTAAGAAAGTTGGGGAGTTATAGATGAGTGCACGGCCAAAGGACAATATATGTCCTCGGCCAGGACCATCACTGCCATTTGTAACAGAGCTACTGAGAAGATTATATAACCGATAGGGGTGCTGTACTACCGTTACCAATCATACGATGCAAAGCGCTTTTGCTCGATGACGATACGATGCCGCGCTTTCCGCGTGTTCTTTTCGCGTATAGTTTTCATTTCTTATATTCGCTTTGTGGGCCTTTGACACATACGATACAACACAATGCAGTGTCACTT